GGATTAAGTACCTTTAAAAATAATATCACCTCTTCCTCTCCTGTCCTCTCTTTTTCACATCTTTGTCTCTCTCTGAGTGTCACACATTTCATTGTTACTTCTGCCTGGAAATCTGTACTTTTGTGTGTTTGCAGATATGGTCTTTGAAACTTTATAACCACCACTGGGTGGTACTTCTAACTGCAAAAAGAGAAGGCTCTGTAGAAGATTGTGGGAAAATATCTCTAGGACTTGACCTCTGTAAACGCCAAATCCAATGTATTTATATAGCACACATAAAAAAACTGAAAATTTACCCAAAGTGCTGCACAAAAACAAAACAAAACAAGAGATAAAACGAAAGATAAAACCTCTCACATTAAAACTCTCACATAAAATAAAACAAAGAGAATAAAAAAGAGCATATCAATTCACACCGGTCCGAACGCTAATTAAAAAAAGATGTGTTTTCAAAAGAATTTATAAAAAGGAAGTGAAGAGGCCTGTCTAATAGTTAAAGGCAGTATGTTCTAGAGTTTGGGTGCCACAATTGAAAAAGCTCATTCTCCTCTAAGTTTCAGCCTCATTTTTGGGAAAACCAAAAGCAGCTGGTCGGCTGATCTAAGGGCCCACGAGGGAATATAAGGCTGAAGTTCATCAGGAAGGTATGGAGGAGCAAGACCATTTGGGCATTTATAGGCCAACGTTAGGACTTTGAAATTAATTCTGTCATTAACAGGAAGCTGACTCCAGCATAATGTGCATTGCAATAGTCGAGCCGAGTTGAGATAAAGGCATGTATTATTTTCTCTAAGTCATACCTTGACAAAGCTGGCTTAAGCTTTGCTATTTTCCTTAAGTGGAAAAAGCTTTTTTGCAACACAGAACTTATTTGTTTATTAAATTTAAAACCTGAGTCCATAATGACTCCCAGACTTGTGACATGCTGTTCGATATGTTGTTGGCTTGTATGACCCAAGCCAAGCATAATTAATAAGTGGTTTGCATAATTACCTCTGATTGAAGCTCAAAAGGTTCAGAGCCATCCAAGCCTTGACATCTTCAAGGCAGTTTAAAACGATTGGATGGGGCCTGGATTATTAGGTGCTAAAGGCAGGTAAATTTGGAAGTCGTCAGCAGTGAAGGGATATCTCATGTTTTCTAAGAATAGAGCCCAAAGGGAGCAAGTACAAAAAAACAGAAGAGGACCAAGCATTGACCCTGAGGAACCCCACAAGAAAGGGGGGCTGAGGTGGACAAAACATTTTTAATATTAACACTGAACGTTCTGTCACTCAAATAGGAACGAAGCCAATCCAGTGCTGCACCTTTAAGCACAAGAATCACAGAACTTCCAGAATCGTTTGCTATAAGGATGTCATTAAAAACCTGTAAAAGTGCTGTTTCAGTGGAATGTAAAAGTTTAAAACCAGACTGAAAAACCTCCATAATGTCATTGGTATCCAAAAATGTATTGAATAGGGTAAAAACTATTTTTTCCAATAACTTTGAAAGGAATGGGAGTTTCGAGATCAGTCTAAAATTTGAGCGGGGAATAAACATGGATGGGTCATATGCAGGAAGTACTATTGCTGACCTGATACACTCAACCTTGTTTACAAAGAAAGAAAGGAACTGATTACATATGTCAGCAGAGGCTTTCAGGGTGGTAGCTTGAGGCACATTTAGAATAGAGCTGATGAGGGATTATGACAATTTCACACAATGATTTGAGAAAAATATTAGTTTTTCTCATTTTTCACTGTATTCTGATAAAATTTCCAACAGTAAGCTGTTGCAGTTTATAGGCTCGGTTGCTCAGTGTCATGTTATATTGACTAAAACTTGTACATTTTGGTCATTCAAGTTTCAGAAAGCATGATTTAGTGTTAGTTCACTGGTTAAAGATGTGTCGAACCAAAGTCTTCAGCCAGGGTGCGGCTCATAAAAAAAAAAACCATCTGCATGACAGCATGTTGTAACCAACTGTAGTATCAGATTTAACAGACTACGAAATGAAAGTAACAGAAAGCTATTCCTGATGATTAATTTTAAACCCTGCTCATGAACTAACTGCAGGGTGTGACAGATAAATTTGCTGTACTAAGGGATGGCACTGAAACCCACACTGTTTCCATCAGCAGGCAATGGGCGAGCACCTTGCATAGCAGCATTGCTGCCACTGGAGTGAGCACAATTGGAGTGACAGGGTAGTCTCTTCAACTGTGAAAGGTCACTACAATGCCTCTGGGACTGCATTATAGATAGGAGAGCAGCTCTGAGCTTTTTCACACACAAACCATCTGCACATCCAACAGGAAGGGAAAGGGTTTTATTATGTTTTGATTAAGAGTCTCTTTAAAGTTGTTACAGTTAATATATGTTTTTGTAGTGATAGAAAAGTGGACAGCCACACTGTACACTGCTGTTGCGTAATGCGTCTGTGAGTAAACAAGCGAATAAGGCTCATAATAGTGATTTATGAAGGGAAACTGCTCTTGAAGCACACTGGTATATGGAACTTTGCAGGAAATATGGTTTAATCGTGGTGGATTAAACACAAAGGTGAGACAGAATTCATGCTAATGTTATTCAAATATGAAGCATAACTTTGGTCTTCTTTTGCTGCTGGCTGACACTTCCAATTTTGAAATCTGTGAGATCTATCCTTTCATCACAGACAATGTCTGTCTGTGTATATGCTGTGGGGTGAACAAGGGAATCTGATCTTTGTTTACATCTTTTTGTAGAGTCTGTTTACCTGCTCTTTCATTCCTTGTTGTTTTAGCTGTATCTGGTGGACATGTAAATGGTTTAATGAGTATTAAGCTAAGATTCTCATGTTTCTGTAAATACCATACATGTCTATATTTAAATAACAGGTCTGGCGCCTCAGAAAAGTTGAAAAATTGGGCACTTCAGTGTCACATAAAAAAAGAAAGAAAAAAGTTGCAAACCCAACAAACTGTACTACTTACCATTTAGAAATGGAAATGGAAAAGAAATCACTTCAGGTCAGCAGACACATAGCCACAGATGTTCTTTTACATAATGAAAAAAAGCTGAAATTTCATGCCAAAGCAAACCCATTGTAGGCTTGGGCACAATATTAGACATATACCATATTTCTCCATCTGCATGCTGATGGAGAAAAGCACTACATAATTTTAAACCTATAAAGACAGGAACCTGAGATACAGACTGAAATACCTTGCCACTTTAGCATCCCCAGCAATCTTAAAGTAAACAAAAAGCGGGCAAGATATTTCAACTTTAATCTCAAGTCATCACTGACAATGGAACAGGGACATCTAGGTGATGCATACCAATGCACACATTACCAATGTTAGGGTTACAAATGAAGTTGATGCATTTGTGAGATGGGGAGGAGTAGCATTGCAGTCTAGTGCTAGTGAGCTAATACTGTAGGTACTGTAGGTCGTCATACCCCCCACCCCGCAGCTTGATTTAAATTGCATGGAGGCGGAGGAACAGAGGTAGAAAGTGAGGCAAATGTGGAACCACAGGACAAAAAAACCCCATGTGAAAATACAAAGCTACATAGCTGGTCTGTTTTCAGAAGCCTGATGGTGTCAAAACATTCATGTCCCAAGGTTTGAGTTTATGTGGCCATGAGGTTTGCCACTTGGCTTCAGTGTCTGAGATTTCAACCTGGTGGTATAAGTTTTGCAGGGTCATCCACCTTGAGGTTGACCTGGGTGTTGGTGCCATCCATGGTTGAGGATTTCTGCAGGCTGCAATCCTGTTTTGGCCTGCAGAAATCCTCAGAAGTCCCCCACTGACCCTGGCTCTGAAAGACTTCTGTACCACAGATCGGAGCATGAAGAAATTCCACCTTTCTCTTCCTCCCTCATTTCCTCCCATGTCTGCGCTTGGGTTGGGACTGTGGGTCTCGGGTGCAGCAAAGAGAGGTGCAGGATGCAGATGAAACCAGTGCCTGCAATGAAGACCCGGTGAAGAGTAGGGACTAATGCGGGGGAAGGGGGTGTCGTTAGGGGTAATGGAAGGGGTGCTACCTGGGGTGGATGATGGCGATGTTGTAAGCCATCTTTAACCTCCTAGGATCTGGTGTCCACATATGTGGACATCACATTTTGCGTTATTTAGACCAAATACTCAATTTTGCTCTACAAGAGCCTGATATCCACTTTATACTTTATACTGCTAAAATTTAAACGAATATCCTCATATGTGGCTCTAATTTTTCTTAGAAACAAAAAATCAGGTTAAAAAAAACAAACTGGTAATTCTTTGTTTTTACATTCATCAGGTGCCAATATGCCCAAATGTCAAAGAAAAATTAAAAATGCATGCTGTGGAAGAGTTCGGGTCTTGGGAAGTTCCACTTGGCATTCTCAACTTCTTTTTCATGATATCTTTTCTTTGATGCCTCGGTCCAACAGTTTCTTTCACTTTGTCCATAAATTCCAGTTTAATTGATTATTTTTTTTCTTTTTTCATGTCCTTAACGGCACTGCAATTAGAATTATTACCTGAAGACCAAGAAAAATGCCCAACAGCTTTATTTTCTCAAGTAGAAAATTACAGCTTTTGCTATACTGTCCACTTGATTGTCATATTTTGTTGAACCTTTATTATTTTTTATTTATTTATTTTTCTTTTCATTTTGAGTTATTGCAATCAGAACGGACAGGACCGCGGTCAGTGATAGGGAAATAAAGAGAAATAAATAGAGGTTCCAGGTTCTGGAACACCTTACTCAAGGATGTAGACTGAGTTTGTGATATATATCATATTTAAGAGACGTGCCCCCTGGTCACCGGTTTAGCTCAGTGGGTGAACAGTCGATCACATTCCCCATAGTCACTGTTCCTTGTTTGCTCAAAGGCAAACAGTGCTAATGAGGCTGGGACAAGCAATGGTAGCTTATTTTTCAGATTAAGCTACCTGAGCCAATTCTCCAACAGTTCTCCAACATGAGAGGCGCTGCTACCCATAAATTCACAGTATTGTTGGACTCTTTTCTCTACATTTTTAAATTCACTACAGAATGCAGTAATCTTTTAATTTGTTCACTCGGGAACTTCAACTTCTCCGTCAAAGTCAAAGGTGTCGGATGGCACCATAGATCTGTAGCCTGATGTTTGAGAGAAGTTGAGAGTCAGCTGGTTCTCCACATTTGTGCCGATATGAAGATTCGATAACCAACTCAGAACTTTCTCAAAGTTGCCGGTTGATTGTTTGCGCTCTAAGAAAGACTCAGGAATAGAAGGTGCTGGACTGCTTCCTTTAACTGAAAACAAAACACACATTTAGATTTATTTTGTGCTTGATAATACTTTAAATGCTAGGATTGATGATATAATTGGACTTACAATCAGGGATCAAAAATTCCTTGCTGTTTCCAAGAAAATGTGATAATTTCTCTATATCTTCATCCAGCTTTTTAATTTTTTGGCTGATTTTGTATCTAGTTTTTCCTCCTTGCCATCTCTCTTCCCCTGACCAGTAGACCTGGTCAGTTTCACCCTGTCACCAACTAATAATAATCATCAAAACATGTTAATAAAAAAATCATCATTTACAAAATAGGATGAATAGAAACATATTTATTATCTTCCTCAAAATACTCACCCAGTGACTTGGATTTGTGCCCATCGCACTTCCCCTAATGTCATTTTGCAGCTCATGGAGTGTTTCCTTGAACTCTTTCATTAGCTCCAGCTCTCTCCTCCCGTACTCCCGCACTAGTCTTTGCTTCAGCACATGTTTCAGCTGCTTCCTCTTGAACATCTCTTCGAATCTCAGGTGCATTTCATTCATGTTTGGACAGAAGAGCTTGCCACTGTTTCCTGCTACTATTTCCTCTATCTTCTCAAACAGCTCTGTCACCTGATTCATATCCATTTTTTTCATATTGTTAATGGCATGGTACCTGTTCTCACACTTCTCAATCAACCAGCGCAGGGCACTATGCTCCCTTTCAATGTGCTCCTCCAAAGATTTATCTGCTAGTTTGTCTCCATATGTGAACAGAACCATTGCGTGTTTCCATACAGTGGCATGAAAAAGGTTCATGTGATCCTCCAGAGTGACTCGTTGAGAATCTCTGAATGTCAGGTCCAAAGGAATGACCAGCAGAATAACATGAACTCCTGCTGGGCTCAGTGAAAAACCTCGGGCAATTTCTTTGTCTATCTCATCTGTGCAGCATGAGGAGTCCTGCCACCAGCCCGGGGTGTCAATCACTGTGACTCGTCGGCCCGAAACCTCCCCATCTTGCATTTGACATTGTTCATTCTGACTAGATGCAAAGACTTCTTTATGCAGGAGAGTATTTCCTGTTGCACTCTTTCCAACAGTCTTCTGACCAAGCAGTATTATTCTCAGTTCCTGTAGCTTATTACTGGAAACTGAGAAGAAAACAGCTGTCAGAGCAAAGTGAAATGGGAAAATGTCATGTTGCATATGATCTGAGTGAGAATGCTCTGTCACTGGTAAGATTGTACATTTATATTTTCTTTTTTAAAAAGTTTTATACAGCTCCACATTCTCTTTGGGAATAGATTTCTGCATTTGATAAGATGTAATTACCTGGACATTGACAAGTTATTTGACATGTGACAGACACTATACTGCTATCATTACCGAATAACCAGAAACATTGTATCTATTACAGTCACTGATATCCTCTAGCATTTTCAACAAATTTTGAAGTATATTTCTGTATTTTGTCCATCTCTGCTATCTATTTAATATGAGTGTGTGGAAACAGCTCTGACATTGCGGCACGTTTTTACTTGTGACACTGATGCTATGTGATAGTGAAGCATACCTCCAAGGGATTCTCGTGTGGCCTTGACTTGACTTTGCCTCAGCATTGCTCCTTCTTTCACCTTCCTTCTTCTCTCTTCGAGGGTCTGAAATATCTGCTGGTCTGGAACAAAGTAGCTCCACCCATTTGCTGCCACAGTCTCAGTGATTTTCTCCAGCAGCTCTGAGATTTGTGTACCATCACTTGCATTCTTATTATCAACTACATGATATCTATTTCCACATTGTTCAACTAGAGACTGTAGGGCCTCCCCCTCTCCTTCGATGTACTGCTCTATGCTGTTTGTTCCCAGCCAGTCTCCTCTGGTAAAAACTATAATAGTGTGTCTCCACACTCCATCACCAAGAAGCTCCACATGTGATGTCACTGCATCTAAGTGTTTGGCATTAAATGATGCATCTGCATCTATCACCAGGATGAAGACATGGGGCCCAGGAGGGCACAAAAACATGCTGCGCATCAGTTCATCTTTGATCGCTTCAGGAGTGTCGAACACAGGGAAGCCTTTCCACCAGCCTGGTGTGTCAACAAGAATGATTTCAGTTTTAGCCACAAAACCCCGGCAGGCAACAGACTTTGGCGTTCTTTTTCCATCTTCCTGGTCTTTGTACCCCAAGATAGTGTTCCCTACAGAGGTTTTCCCAACATTACGGCTTCCCAGAAGAATCATCTGGAGTTTTGGGATATGTTTCATCTCTTCTGTTATCGGACAAAACAACGATTGGTTAGGCTTGGAGCTTACAGCAGCTTATACTGAGATAAAATTATCAAGGCATATGCAGGCCAGTAAAATCACTGAATCGCAACGGGCAATGGAAGTATGTGGTAATAGAATTCATTAACATATTCAACACATTAAAATACTGGACTTTAAAAACTGGAAATGTTTGTTATTGTAATGTTGTTTTAACACAGAATTTTATGCGATTTTCTGAGGTATAATTTATTCTTTTTTTTTTCTAGATGCATGTATTTGTTTGTAAAATGTCCCTTTATTCAGTCTTTCTTTGCATTAAATGTCACTTTTTTCCAGGTTCTCCCTGCACATAATGCTGAAATAAATAGTTTGACATTTTCAGATGCTTAAGTTAGACTGGCATTGCTTTCACGTCTGTATGCTTAACATGCAGTTTTAACAACCTGATTTTGTTTGACTTTTGCAAAATCCACCTAACGTACTACTATATGAACCTTGTTTAATCCAGTCTTTATTTAATGCACACATCTATCCAGTTGTATTAACAAATACTTTTACAGGACGTTGTGTGGTGGATTATTTCCTGGATGGGCACAGTTATGATTCTGGGAAGTTGTATGTCCCATAAAGTGGCAAATTAGTCCTTTCATCTTGATGTTTGCATTGATTGAATAAATATGGTACCATGATTTGCTGCCATTATGTCATAATATATAATACAAGGGATGTGTTTGAGTGCTCCTTCTGTCACACTCACCTGGAATGAGTGTTTTCATGTGTTGTCTTTGGTCCTCGGCCTTCTTCCTTCTCTCTTCTGCTCTCTCAGCCACCTCCTTTTGCTTCTCTTTGATGACTTGGAAAATGGGCTCTTCTACCTTGTAGTAACTGCCACCATTGTACCACACCATCTCTTCGATCTTTGCAGCAACTTTGTGACCTGAGATAAGTTATTCTTGTCCTTGTTATTAAACACATGGTACCTATTCAAACACTTTTCTATTAACCACTTGAGTGCCTGTCCTTCACTTTCAATGTGTTCTTCTATTGTCTTTTCCCCGAGGTAATCCCCGCAGGTGAACAGCACCATCGTGTACCGCCAAACCCGTTCACCTAAGAGCTTCATGTGTTCCTCCACAGTCGTCTTCTGCTCCACAGAGAAAGCCGAGTCTATTGGAATAACGAGGAGAAAAGCATTTGGTCCAGGCGGACACTTGGATGCATTGAGTTTAAACCTTTGCTTGTCCCCTCTGGGATCTCAGCAAGGGAGAGGGAGCTGCTCCAACCCGGAGCATCAATCACAGTGAGCTTCCTGCCGTCCACCAATCCATGTCTCACTTCAGACTGAGCTGTTCTTGTTCGGCCACACTCAAATCTCTCCTTTCTCAGAATGGTGTTACCAGATGAACTCTTGCCAGCCCATCTACTCCCTATGAGTATGAGCCTGATCTCAGTCTCCTCTGAAAAACAAAGAAAATATTGAAACTTTTTTGTTGCAGATAAAAAGAAATAATATTGTGTTCTTATTAGGATTGTGAAACAACTTATTTGGATTAATGATAATGCAGCTTGTTGTGACCAGATTGGCATAGAAGCTTTAAAATAGAAGGCGGGCTTATCTCCTCAAAATGAGGAGCAGAATAGAATCCTTCAGCGTGACATTGTTATCACCACAGTTGTCTCCACTGCTTTAGATGATTGACACAAGAGGAACGTTCTAAGAAATTTGTGCATGGGAGAGTTATTTCTGACCCTTTCATTTCTGTCTGAGGAATAACAAGTCAAAACTAAAATAGTGAAACATTTTTAGAATGACCCTGAACCAAAATAAATAAGTGATCAGAAGCAACAAGAGGAAAAAGAGAAAATATTAATTCAGATAAGAATGCCTCAGTCCCACTTATTGACAAAATATTCAGTTGAAACAGCTGAAAAGCGTAGGCTATATGATGCAATGCAGTGCAACACACAAATGATCTTTTCTGGCATCAAATATATAAGCTCAGACGATACTATAGAAGGCAATGAAGAAAACTGCAGTGTCAAAACACGATTAAGAAGTTAACCAAAAGCAGAATTTTGCAGGGCTGTTTTTCTTTGGAAAGTTTTTCTCTCAACTGTATTGACATAATGAGCTCTCATAAGGAGGAATGTTGTCAAAAGGTTGCTGGGAACTCAAAATGTTCTTTCCTTCCGGGCAAAAAAGGAAATTCTGGCATAACTGGTTTAGTGGCATGTCTCCTGTCTAAAAGCAAATGCCCAGACTGGTGTTTTTGGTTTTGGTTCTGTTTTTGTTAGCTAGTGTCTAACAGGGCTCTCAAACCTACAACTACATGCTCCAATTGCAAACACATGAATTTTGTCTATGACCTCTAGTTATTGAATCCAATCCAAACAAATACATTTAATAACAATTTAGGAATGTGTTTAACAGATTTCTTTCTTTCACATCATTGCTTCTGAGTAACTGGTATTCACAATCTGCAGTGAAAAATTAGCAAACAACAAAAAAGTGGATTGTGGATAGACTTTATAAGTTGTTTCACCTTGTGATAAGCCCCAAGTACATTTCACAGCTCCATGCTGATTCATTTTTATTCAAATTGCTTCAAAAAAGTAAACAATATTTCTCAATTAACTTACCAAGATTGGCTTCCATTTTTCCTACTTCTGTTTTAAAAGTGCCTTTGAATGGTCCCAAGCTCTTCACTGAGGTCGAGTGGATAAAGTCTGTATTCAGGCATATTTTAGTACGAGTTCTTGCAGCCTTGACTGCATAAAGTGTGACTGAGAGGGCAAAGTGTTTGTATCTAAATCATCACAGCAGTGCAGAAATCCAGACTAACTGGTTTCAGACAGGTAGTGAGCGGTAAATGTTATGTCAGTTTAGCCACAGTAAAGCTACATAACTACACTACATCATTCAATAGAAATCATTACATTTGCTTTTTTTTTTAAAAAGTAAAACATCTTACTATAGCTTATGGAAATAATGAGTGTAGTGGGTGTTTTAGCACCAAAGGCCATAAATAAAAATATATTGATTTTTAATTGAAGAAATTAATTTAATGAAATCCAAAGATAAATGTTTGTCTACATATACAGTATATACATGTATTTCCAGTGATGTACTTTCAAATTACAAAACCATTACATATTCAAGGATGAGTCATCCAATGTGCCGTGCTCCTGTAATTATCCTGACAGACACATAATGATGTTGGGTCTCCACAAAAAAGAGCATCATTCAAATCCAGAGCATAAATGAGCCTCTAGGGGATTGTGAAATTATAAACCTGACTTTCACTAAGTCAGCTGAAATGGAATAGACTATTATTTGTATGCAGCATAGGCTAAAGAGTGGCCATGATAACTTCATGGTTTCCATTTGTAGTTGTTATCCGTCTTTAAATCATTAAAGTCAGGCATAAGACAATCAAAAATACACGAGTTGTAGAAAACAAAAGGTAATTTGGAATAGAATACAACAAAGAAAATGACACCATCTAAAAGCATTTTAAAGTGAGAGACCTGTAAAATTTAAATTACTGAAATAATAATTCAATACCATATGGTGGACTTATACGACAGATGCTTTTGGCTCTTTATCACTCTCTATTAATATTTATTTGGCACTAAGGAAGTTCTGTTTGTTTGACTGACTGGCAATAGCTAAACAACTGTTCTTACATCATGCTAGCGGCATTATGTTGACTGAACTACCACAGGGGATCACCTTATGCTGGAGCTTACAGAAAATACTAAACTTGGTGTAAACTCTAAGTGCCAGGGTATATCTGCTTATCCAACAGATTGGACATCTCCATCCACGACAGGTCCCACTGCACTTCCGTCACGTCCTGCTTAGTTGCAGGAACCGGCACTGCTGGCACGTCTTCTTTGGAAAATGGCCAACGTTTCCAAGTACCCAACATCTGGTATCTTAAAAAAATAAACAAATGATAATACCTGAAGCATTTGACAGCTTGTTTGATTTTGAGTCATGCTAAGACATCATCTGTCTAACAACATATATACAACTCCTGGGTACTGTAACTTACTGTAGCGATAAAAAAGCCAGACCGATAGAGGAATAAGAAACAGAAATACAAGTCCAACAGACAGGATAATCCATTTCCAGTAGCCTGTTGACAAGAACAAATAGTATTTGTTTCAGTGCAAAAAGGCTCAACCAGGTTGTACCTGAAAATACATTACTGTTCCACATCATTTAGTCTCATTTCTTTTCTATTTTTTAAGTCTGATTTCTAATTAACAGCTGAAGAAACCTGCTAATGGGGTGCAAAGTAATGTGATTCACAGGGTGCTTTTTTTCTTTGCTTGCATACCTTGAATTACTGTTACATCTACTACAATAATCAGTCAAAAAAAAAAAAAGGACAGTTGAATAAGTAGGCAAATT